CAATCATGAACTCACAATATTGGTGACTGCCTGAATTGGGCCTGTAGAAGACTGGGCCTGTTAACATTGTCATGGATTTGAGAGGGGCTCATGGGTTTATTTCTCTGGAAGGATGCTGGTAAAGGGAGCCATCCTTTTTAGTGATATACCCACTGCTGAGTCCCCATAATCCAGAGGGTAGCTCTACACCCAAGCCCACATGGGTGGCCCTGCTTAATTTTACTGTGTAAAAACAAAAATACAAAAGACACTAAAGTGAGAGGGAGTCTCTTAAGGAGGAAAAGGGGGGAAGAGGGCAGGAGGGGGTCAGAGAGGGTGTAGGGAAGAATGTAATCAGAATGTATTATATACCTGTATGAAACTGCCAAACAATAAATTTAATAAAAGAAAACAAACTAATGAATCAAACATTACAATGAAAGTAAGTGTGATGTGTAGCCATTAAAATGTCAAGAAAGAACCATGTGCACTAAATAAAGTACAACTTTCTAAATATGTAAGTGAGGGAAGTGAAATACAAAAGAATGCAGATGTGTGTTCCATTAATCAATACATGGAACAGAATAAGAACAATGATAGGCATACAGTAACTAAGCTTCACTGGAAAGGGTCCAAGAAATTGTAACAGAGAAGGGACATAAGTTTTACTTTAAAAAGTAATTTGCATATATTGGCTCCACAATTTTGGTTAACAAAATAGAAGAATGGGTAAATAAATTGTGTCAGTGATACTTTGACACATTGTGTACATTCAAGAAGTCACTGGGCTGGGGAGATGGTTCAGTAGGTAAAGGTGCTTGCTGTACAAACCTGAGGAGCTAATTCAAAATTCCCAGCATTCATGTGAAAAAGCCAAGCATGTCAGCGCATGCCTGCAACCCATGCAACCCATGTGGGTGGGGCACACAGATCCCAGAGCTTGCTATCTAGCCAGTCTAACTAATCTGGTGAGTTTTGGGTTCTGTGATGGACCCATCTAAAGGAAATATGTTGCAAAACAGTAGAGGGGGATACCCAACATTCCTCTCTGGCCGCCCAAGGTATGCGCACTTACACACCTCCACATGCTTTCCATGCACACAAACAGAAATTGTCATACCTTAATTAAATGTTTGAAATCTCTATCAGTTGAGTCATCATCCACACAAAGAGCAGTGCACACCTGTAGTTGAATGACCTGAAGTCCCCCGACTGGCTCTGAGAGTCTTGCTGATTATCTGAGTGTGCCTCCACATGGTTCCCTCAGCAATTTAGCCACTTCTACATCAAATAGTGCCTGGGGACTTTTACTAGGCTCAGGACTGCGGCGCACACTTGTGCTGCAGAGATGAATGTGTCTTGGCTAACTCACCTGACACACCATCCATCACTGCAAGATGATGCAATAACTACTCAGCACAAAGATACTTGATAATGACCCACAAAGAGGATTATTGGAGTAATTGAGAATTTCCCAAGTTCAGAGTGACTCAACATAACTTAGGAGTCCATCTTGTTCAGTTCTCTCACGAGAAAGCCAAGGAAAGCAGACCTGATCAAGGTCAGGCTATGCTCTGAACGTGAAATAGGCTTAGTAATATGCTGAACACTTGGCAAGACTATGACAACATTTAGGCAGAATCTCATTGGAGGAAGCAGGTCACTGGGGGGAAGGTCTTGAAGTTTTATATCCTGGATCACTTTCTGTTCACTCTCTGCTTTTTGACTGCAGATGCAATGTGACCAACTGACCTCTTGCTCCTGTTATCAAGCCTTCCTTCTTGTGACAGACTTCAATCCCTGAAACTGTAAGGCAGAACAAACCATTCCTGAGTTAAATTATTTCTTATCAGTTATTTGATCATGATAATAAGAAAAGAACTAATACAACCATATGAAGATCAGGAATCAAAGCTTTTTAAAGCCAAATATGTAGTTTTGCTTTTGCCATGAAACAAACACTCCAGCATCTCAGCAGCATGAACATACAAGCATTAATTTCATTCTATATTAAAGGGTTGATGAGGGCTACTCTACTCTGCTCCATGCAACTTTTATCCAACAAGGCGTCCTGGGCATAAAATTCTCCTGGCATGGAATACAAACAAGAAAGTAAATAAAGAATAACTCACAAGGCTTTGGATGATGACGTCTTGGAGATGGCACAATGCCATATCTAGAATTCTATTGACTAAAGACTCACATGCTAGACTCAAATTAGAGTATCAGGCATTGTTTTGTCCTCTTTCACTAGAATAAAAAATTTAAAAAGCTAAAGACAAAAGGTGGGATGAGAACAAAGGACGAAGAAATAGTATCAACAAGGAAATCTATAACTGGTGTTTTGGTCACAGCTCAGTGCAGGGGGTTCCTCTTATAGAGTGATTTCTGCTGTGTGAAGCCAAATTCCCTAGGGAGTAGGGAGGGTTGTGGAAGACCCCTATCATCACTCTGCTTTTGGGGACAGCAGGGCAGAGGAACTGGATCTTTTTCTTCTCTTTCTAATCTAATCCAATCTGATTAACATGTAGCAAGTACAGGAGCTCAGGAAAACGATGCTGAGGGCCACCTCCTCAGGAGCTTTGGGAGGTGATGCTTAGAGTCTCCTTAAGGAGGTGACGCTAAGATTTTCCTTAAGGAGATGATGCTAAGAATCTCCTGAAGGAGATGATGCTGAGAGTCTCCTTAAGGAGGTGATGTCGAGGGCCACCTCCTCAGCTCCTTGGTGGATTTAGACCATGAAGAGAAGATAAGTGTGTTAGAGGGGATGGGTGCTCTCCTCTTTCACATATTGCAAAAGTAAGTCTTTTCATTATTTCTTCAAAGCTAGGATATGAATGTTGTGTTGCTGTGAGGAACATGTGTTTAGATAAAGTATGTGTGTGTGTGTGTGTGTGTGTGTGTGTGTGTGTGTGAATATACAATCTTGAGGTGTGTAAAGAAATGCAAAGTCTGACATTCTGGGTTTCTATTGACCTTTGTAGTAAAAAAGAAGAGGCTCCACCTCCAATAGACCCCACTTCTTCCAGGCCCCATTTGGGCTCTCTTCCTCCCCGATAGGGACCTTGCTAGATCCCTGTGGTGGATTAGTTATGGAGAGTGGCTGGAGGAACTCTTTAGTCTGGAAGGTTACTTTCACAGTAATCACAGCAGGTATTTCCTTAGGGGCAAGACTTCTATAAATTGGGAAACACTACAGCAGGAGCTGAAATGACTGTTATTGAGCTGCTTCACACCTAAACCATAGATATCAGTGCTGGAGAAGAAGCAAATATGTTGGGTGAGTGTTGAGTTTGTTTTCAGGAAAACTGGATTGCAAAGACATTCTAGGATGATTCACTGATGACACAGAAGGAGAGGGGTAAAAATAATAACAATGGATGCCCATATATGGAGCTCTCATTCTCTCTCATTCTGTGCTGAACATCTCTCCCAAGTCAACATTTGTCACTACCACAAGGCAGCAATGATAGGTACATGATCTATTGTAGGCTGATCATATTCCTTCCTTGGGTTCTGATTCTAATGATGTGATATAAGAGAGTGGGAATCATTGGGATAAATCATTGTTTTTCCCAAAGTTGACACCTAAATAAATCTCAGTGGTATGTTATTTTCTCTGTCATCTTAACTGAGTCACAGCAAGCCCAGGTATTTTGTTTAACAGTCTCAGTGTGTTCAGGATGGGTTTCCTGGGTTAGCGTTTTAACAGGTGGGCTAGAGAAACAGATTGCCCTTCCTAATGTGGGTAGGCCTTTTCTGGAGGCATAAGCAAAAAATAGGCAGTCTAAAGGAGAATTTTCTTTCTCTGTCTGGCACCTTTTGAGTTGGTTTATGTGTTTATTCCTGCATTTGTACTATTTCTTACACCATTAGCTTCATTGGTTCTTGAGACCTTGGACTCCAACTAACGCCTCACGATCAGCTCTCCTGAGTCTTTCACTTGTTGACAGTAGGATGAGAGACACCATGGTTCCATAATTGCATCAACCAATTCCCATAATAGGCATAGATATAGATGTGAACATGGATACAGAAATGCATATGGATGGCTATAGATATAGATGACATATACAGAATGTAGATAGATGTAGATAGCACAGTGTCCTAGTTTCATTTCTGTTGTTCTGATAAAAAAAACACCCTGAGAAAACTCAACTTAGAGGAGAAAGTGTTTTTGTCCTTACAATATTCATTTACAGTCCATCACTGTGAGGAAGTCAAGACAGGAACCTGAAGAGTCATGTCAGATCCCATCAAGAGCAAAGGTAATCAATGAGAGCATGGTTATTCACCCTTTGATCACTCAGAGTCCTGCTCATGAAATAGTGCCGCTCACATCCAAGGTGGGTCTCCCCACCTCTTCCTAAATAATTAAGGAAACCCCCAGCAGGTATGTCTACAAGCCAAGCCAGTCCAGGACGCCTAACCCAGGCTGTCTTCCCAGGTGGTACTAGGTTGTATCAAGCTGACAATTTGAAGCAAACACCACAGTTACAGAAATATCACCTATTGGTCCTGCTTCTTAGGAAGATCCTTAATTTTTACGTTTGTTTGTTTTAGGTTTAATCTTATTTTGTGTATGAGCATCTTGATTTAATGCATATATGCTGTATGTATGCCTGGTGCCTGCAGAGGTCAGAAGAGGCATTGATTTCCTGGAACAGGAATTACAGATAGTGTGGGCTACCACAGGGGTGCTGAAAATAGAAGCCAGGTCCTCGGCAAAAGGAACAAGTGTTCTTAACTGCTGAGCCCTGGAAGATCCTAATATAACCCTCAGGAAGATTGTGCTTTCCATTGGAGAAGCCAGGGTGTTAAGTAAGTGTTTGTTCAGCCTGCCTCCCACCATCCTGAGAAAAACTTCTGTTCCCTGACTGCATTCAAAGGACCAACAACCAGTTTTTGCAACTATGACCAAAACCTGTAGCTGATAAAACATCCCTGGTACATGGATAAACACTATTCTCTTAAAGGCTAAAACAAATCTGTAGCTATGGACCTGGTGCAGGACGCCAAGATAATGATAAATAGGTGATTTATTGGGGAATAACTTACACAGATAAGAATAAATAACCATTGCGGCCTTCATGCTCCAGAAGATGCAGTCTCTACACTTCTGATGCTTTCTGTGACCCAAAAGAGCACAATCACTCCCAGCTACTCTACCTTAAAGCACCTGAAACCTTGCCCAAAGGGTGTGGCCACCTCTTTAAGTACACTGGCAAGGCAAGATGTTATTCCAGCTACTCAGACAGCAGAAGCAGAATCATGAGTTCAAAGTCCCCACTGGCTAGTACAATTTTGGTGACATTTTGAGTGAATCAGTAAGGCACCTCTGTCCAAGATTTTAAAAGTGAAAAGACCTTAGGATATAGTTCAGTAGTAGGCCGCATAGATTCCTTCCCCAGTAAAGCAACGAAACAAACCGTCCCCCAACCCCAGGAATTCATGAGAGAAAACCAATATCCAGGGAGCATTAGAGCCAGGATTTGAACCAGCATGCCTTATCTTGAGCTCCTCTGCCCCACCCAGTTACAGTGCTCTGAACATATGTTATTGTATTATGGAGGTTTCCTATCAGAAGGTAGCAGACTGGTTGTGGATTGGCGTTGCACCCTCAGTGCGGCTTTTTGCCAATGCTCGAAAACAGAAATTCCCAGAGTGTGCCTCCTTGCCTCAGTCTGAATAAAAAAGATGCAAATAGTCACAGCTGGATAGACAGAAGGTGTGATCTGCTTCAGTCCAGAGCTCAGCACCACACTGTGGACTCTCACTAAATCATCGGGGGTTCTTCCACTTGAGGGATGTAGGAGGTGGTGTATCTTCTTCTGAGGCTTCATTGGTAGACTGAGGAATGGCCATGAGACCAATCACAGCATATAATTTACACAAAAGCACTCTGTATAAACAAAACAATAATAAGAACGTTACTTTATGATGGGTACCTCTTAAATATTTCTATAATCTGCCCTTAATTGTCATATCAGTATCAGCATTATCATCTTCTTTTCAGAAATGGAAAACCAAAGAGAAAATTAAATAACCTTGCTAAGACCTCTAAGCAGGGATTGGAGCCTAAACTCCAGCTATGTTTTGCTACAGAGCTGGGCTTGGAAACCAGGTTGTCAACCATGTTAGTTAAGTGACTGACCACTGGACTGCATTCCCAGCTCTTCTTCTGACCCAGAAGCAAACAGCAGATGCTGGGGCCCCAGGAAGACTCTTTCAGGTACCCACTTCCTGCATACCTGTTTCTCACAGTTTTGGTCCAGAGCTTGAGACATTATCATGTTAGACAGTCTGCTCAGAAACCTTCAGATTTTTTTAGTTACTTGTTTTTATTTTATGTGTATGATTGCTTTGCCTGCATGTCTGTCCCGGCACCATGTGCATGCAACATCATGGAGGCTGGGGGTGGGGAATGCTTGCTGCATCCCCCAAGATTGGAGTTACAGAAGGTTGTGAGCATCCATATGGGTTCTGGGAACTGAACTCGTATCCTCTGGAAGTGCAGTGAGTGCTCTTAACTGCAGAGCCATCTCTCCAGGCCCAGCACTTAGATTTTATGAGAAGTATGATGTCTCCTGTGACCCCAAATAGCACCTGAAAGCTTTGCAGGCTGTTTTTGATGGACAAGGATTTGTGGTTCTGATACTGCTGTTGTGGCTCTGGATTCTTTCACACTAATAAGTTTTGTTCTTTATGAAGCCAACTTCCCAACCACCTACACACCAGGAGTGGGAAAGGATGAGGGCACAAGCCAAGTGGAGCTCATTGCAGAGGTGTCTGTTGCTACCACTATGTTCCTGTTTTGTTTTTGTGTACATATGGGAATGCATGTTCAAGTAGGCAGGTGAGCATGTGTGTGTACATGCACACACACACACACACGTGTGTGTGTATATGTGCACACATGTGCAAATGCAAGAGGGCAACCTCAGGTGCGGTTCCTCATTTACTGGAACGTGCTGATTCAGCTAGTCCAGCTAGCTCATGAGCCCCAGACAGTCACTTGCATTCACCTCTGCAGCGCCTGCATTACAAGGGCACACTGCCACACCTGGGTCTGGTATGTGGGCTCTAAATATTGAACTCATATCCTCACGCTTGCATGGCAAGCACTTTGCCAACTGAGCTATCTGTCCAGCTTCCCTTTGTTACTCTTTATTTACTTTTAGAGAGTAAACATCCTAGCCTCTGATATTCCACATAAGCCTGGACCAGTCTCCCAGGCTCATGGACTAATTTCATCCATCTGCGGTATATATCTTAGACATGGAGAGGGGGCAAGAACACACTCCCTACTCCCCCACCCACAACCTTGTTTTCAGAGGGTTCTAGCTGGCTCTAAGCCTGGAGCCTTAATAAGCCTGCTGAATTAGCTGCTAAGAGAGAAAAAATGGGAAATTATTGGGCAAATATCTGGCTACTTTGGGACTTTATGGCTCCAGGGGTCTTAGGGACAATGGTCGGTGGCAGGGTGCATGGAGGGAGACTGGATTTGAAGTTGAGGCTGAGCACATTTTCAATTATCTTTTTCTATTAGTTCACAATATTGTCATCACTATTATTCTTCAATGCTTATGTGGTTGACTGAACTCAGTCAAGACCTTTAGATATTTCAAGCCATTTCCATATCTGTTTAATGGAGACAATAGACTACAGAGCAGACATATTGTCATGAGAATTAAAAGGAGTATTAGCCATGCATTTACTCAGAAAATACAATACACATATATGATATATACACTATATAATTAAAGCTCTCTTATGGTGTTTATCAAGTGCTTAACAAGCGTTAATCATATGCCAGGCTATTGAATTGGTTACTTAGAAAATTTTAGTTAATTACCACTAAGATACAGTTCTTACACTGTGCAGATTTCAAAGAAAGAGCTTTTCAAAACATTGAGTAGCTGCTCAATGGTCACATGGAAGATAATTGGTAGAGATGATTTTATTGTGACTTATTATTAGCCTTGTCATATGAATCCTGGCTGTAACAAGCCATTGCACATATATTCATGCTCAAACACACCAGTGAGATAAGACACACTCACCTGAATACATAGAGAACAGACATCATGCAATAATACACAGCCAAGTGTACCGCTAAACACCTGTAATTCCAGCACTGGAGATGATGTTTCTTAGTTATGGTTTCCTATTGCTGCTACAAAACACCATGACTGAAACACAAGTTGCAGAGGAAAGGGTTTATTTGGCTTACACTTTAATATTTCTGTTTAACGCTGATGCAGAGGCCATGGAGGGGATATGCTTACTGGTTTGCTCCACATGTCTTGTTGAACCCACCTTATTACAGAACCCAGGACCAACAACCCAGGGATAGCTTCACCCACCATGGTCAGTGCCCTCCCCAATTGATCACTAAATGATAAAATGCCTTACAACTGGATCTCACTGAGGCATTTCCTCAGCTGAGCCTCCTTCCTCTGATTACTCTAGCTGGAGTTAAGTCGACCCACAAAACCAGCCAGTATAGGTAGAGACAGGGGGATGAAGACTTCAAGGTTATCCTCAGCTACGTACAACATATAGGTCTCAAATAAACAAACAACAGAAATAAAAACAGAGATAAAGGATAAAGAGAAAAATAAAAAAGCCTACACAGAAAAAAAGCCCTTGTTGGTTTATAGACTTTAACTTCTCCTCTACAATCATGGTATTTTTGAATTTTTTATTTCAATGCCAATTCCCAGGGTGATAAATTATGGACAGCAAATGCAAAAGCTGCCCGAATTATTTTCTCATAGGGGAAATTTGAGGCCTATGAAAGATGACAATAGAAAACATTGTCAATGATGTGTTGTTGGCCACCAACTATGTCTTGTGCACTGTGGAAGACACCGAAACAGCCATGATGTAACAAGATGCTTGAGTCTACAGCTATCAAAGATTGCTGGTGTTAGAAATGCTCTTGTCACATCCTTGTAATGCCACCTATTTCAATGAGATGGTTGTAATCTGGAGACAGTGGCTCCAATCTTGAGTGTGGATACTGGAATTTGGGGGTCTACCATAACAATCACTAGCCACTTTGGTTAATTACACTTGAATTCAAACATATTAAAATGAAAGCTTAGAAAACCATCAGGGACTCCATCACCATAGCCACAGTTCCAGTGTTTAGGACCTCCATCAGACACATTTATATAACTCAACATATAACCTGACTGAGGGCTCCATACCTGTTGACACATTCTATCAGTGCATAGAGCTCCATTCTGAAGCACAACAACAGAATGTTAGAAAAAAGATAATTTATACATAAACAGCTTTCATTCTCTTTATATAGTTGGTAAAATGGAGACCCAGAAAGAGGTAGCCATACAAGGGACACATAGTGCATGTAACCTTAAGGGAAAACTCAGTCTTTGCCAAGTAATAGCCCTACTTCCAACCTTGCATTGAGCAGCATGTCAGCTTCCCTTCAAAACCAAGGGTATTTTGACCCTGGGTTTGACATTGCTTTACATGTTCTGGGGATGCCAGATAGTCTTCAGAGGAAACCCTCCAGCTGTTTTCACAAGAGGTCATGTTCATCACTGATGACAAAAAGGAAGAGAAGAACAGCAGTCTTCCTGTGTGCATGGCTCCTGATACTGTGCTTGGCAAGCAGTATCTGTTTTAATGGTCTGGGGTTGTTGCAACAGGAGAAAAAAACAAGAATGAGAAAGCTGCATAAACTTGTTCAAGATTACCCAATTACAAGGGGGAAGGGAGAGCCTGAGAGAAAGGAGGAAAGGGAGAGAGGGAGGAGAGAGGTATGGACTGGAACCTGGGTCCTGATCTATGAGCCCATGTTTTCTCTAACCTTGAATTTTATCTTAAGGCTTCATTTTAATTAGATAAGAAACAATTAAAATGACACGCTTTCCTGTTTTCTAGCTCTCCTTCAAATTCAAAAACCAAAACAAATGTAAAACCAAAGTTTGAACAAGAACCATCCCTGCTGGGAAAACCACACATGCTCTTTTCCTTACTGGTCAATTGTAACAGCTCTCCCCCATCTATACACTGGGACCCCCTGGAAACATGGCTGAGGCCAGGAAGGATAGGAGGAGATATGGGTGAGGTTTCTAGAGACCAGGGATACACTGAGGATTCTGAGTTATCCCTATCCCCTCTGTCTCAAGACAGATAAGAGGGACAAACACAGAGACTCCTTTGATGCCAGGCTCCCTTTTAACCTCAGTCATCGCTGTGACACTTCAAGTCTATGTTGGCAAGGATAAGAGCCAGCTTTATTCTTGTGTGATAAGGTGTTATCATCTCTTATTTATGTAGGGTTTACCTTGTTTGTAGTCACTTTGATGACTGAAATATTTGCTTGAGAGTTCTCCCAATGGATCTCCAAGAGCAGGAGGAATGCAGCCGGCTAGTGAGTTTTCTCATCACTAGTTGAGTTTGTTTTGCAAAAATAAACACAGTGAAATGAGTCTTTGGAGACCACCTGAATCCAAAGGGGAATGCAAGTGGGGAGGCAGGGGGTGACTTAGAGCCACACCATAAAGGGCTAAGGCACTGCAGCTTAATTTAGAAAGTGAAAAGGATTTTAGAAACGAGATCTTTTAGTTCATTTTTTTTCAACAGACAACTGTCATGATTTGGGGTTATTTGATCATTTTGCAAATATTAAGTCCCTGCAATGTACCTGCTACTCCTCTAGGCCCTGCAAGCTGCAGCGTGCACCAGGGAGACACATCCAGGCTCCTATGGAGCTGGCATTCATCTAGCATAGTGATTCTCAACTAGGGATTTTGGAACTGTCAGGAAGTGTGGTTAATTTCCACACCAGGTAGAGGGTGGAACACACTTTTGGAAACTAAGAATGGAGTTCAGGGATGTTGTAAACCATCCTGCAATATACAGAACAACCTGAGCACAACTGGCAAGATGTCCAGCTAGTTTTGAAAGCAGTGGGAAACCCTGATCTAGCCATAAGCTTAAGAATAGTATGAACCTGTCTCCTTGCAAATAAATCATGATTGGTACCATAATGCCAAGTGCACAGGTTATAAATAGCAGGTTTTGTGAGATAGCTTTTGAAATGATCCAAGGATATACCAATGTCAGACCTTAAATATTACAGACAAAATTTGAAACCCTGTGATGTTTTTACTTCCAAGTAGCAGTTCAAGGTATTCAATGTGAGGCATTTACAATTAGGACCTCCAGTTCTGGGGGAAATGACTAATGGGGTACTAAGAATCAGGAAGGGTCTGTGACAAGCAGTCATAGACTTTGGAATCTGCCACACAAAAGGGCTAGTGATAGATGATACTTATCAGATACCAGCTACAAAAAAAATGCACTCATCATTGTGTGTATGCAACTACCCTGTGAAATTCAACCACAGATATCCTAGCTTCACAGATGAAGGAACAAAAGCAGAGGGCTTAAGTAACCTGCACATACCCACCCAACATAGCAGAAGCCAGCTTTGAAATATACAGCACTTTGGCCGCAGAACATGCACAGTGCCGACATTTCTTCTCGGGTTACTTAGTTTCCTCTTGTTGATGTTTAGGGACTCACCATTTAGCATCCCCAACTGGCCAGTTAGTCCTGGAAGGTACTCAAATTGCAAACAAATGTATAAAACTTATCTGGAATAGTTGGTAAAGATTCATTCAAGCCAACGCTTGAACATTTTTGTCATCTAGACTCTGATGTTGGCCTAGGTCCCACAATTCCAAGTATTGCTCCTGCTTATGTTGCTATTGTAATTTTCAGACATCCAAGACTAGTGAAGGCTCATACAGAAAAGCTCCAGAAAAGAGTTTCTAAACCAGGGAAGCAGCTCAGGGGTCAGGCTGTGGGAAAAGGGGGATATAATATCAGACTCAGAATGGGGGAGAGGGGAAAGACTGTGGAAGGTGAACAAGCCTAGATCTGTCTGTCTAGGTTTAACTATTGGCTCTACTCACTGTATATAAGTCATTTAATATACCTCTAGTTTCCTATTCTTGAAATAGGTCTATATTAATACTTGCTTTGTAGAGCTGAGTAGAGGACCAAATGAGCCAATGATGCATTTAATCACTCTTAAAATGTGCATCTACATGTTACCATCTCTGGGATTTGAATGGGGCTTACAATTGACAGACTATCATAGATTAACGTGCAGGCATTTTTTCTCAGTGGTGCATAAAATAAAATGTAAAATATTGATTGCATCTCAGAGTCAATAATGTAGTATGTCTGAAATTACAAAAGCTTAAAATATCAGGAATTATTGGCTCTATTTTTATTACCGGCTCTTAGCACACCATCAGGACTCAGTAAATGTAAGTGCAGAACAGATTTATCTTGGGTTTGAGTCTGACCTGAAGGTACATATGAAGATTTGGATCCATACAGCATGTGGAGAGGTTACACTCTGGGCAGTCCTCCTACAGAATCACCTTGGCAAGAAGAGATGACAAAACTCTGGCTGTAATAAATCACACTGGACAGCTTTGTGGTTGCAGGGCACTGTACTGTCTGGAAGGAAGAGGAAAGAGGTAAAATGCCACATGAAAATTTTAAAATATCACTAATAAAAATGGCCAAGAATCTTAAAATACAAACAAGCAGAATCCAATTCAGGCTGGTAGTCATAGCCATAGAAGGAAAGTATTGTCTCTAAAATCAGGAACAGATGATGCTACCTCACCCTCTTCTATTCAATATCTTGCTCAAAATATTAGCTCTAACAATGTAACAAGAGAAAGAAATAAAAGGCACACAGATAGAAAAGAAAGAAATCAAATTATCCCCATTTGCATGTTATATACTTCTTTGCTTAGAAGATCCTAAAGGCTTCACCAGAAAACCCTTAAATTAGATAAACACTTCCATCAAAGTAGGTGGATACAGAATCAATGCATAAAATATTAACCTTTCTATAAACCCATATAACAAGCTATGATAGCATGAGGACCTGATTTAGGTTCTAGCACCCACAAAAGAGCTGTATACATCAGTTTGTGCCCGTAACCTCAAAGCTGAGGGTGTGGAGACTGGCAGATCCCTGGGTCTCACTATCCAGACAGTCTAACTGAAACAACAAGCTTCAGGTCCCAATGAGAGACCATATTCAACAAGACAAGGTGGAGAGTGATAGGGGAGAACACTTTGCATCAACTTCAGGCTTACACAATTGCAAATACACGTTCATACACCTGCACGCACCATGCATACATGTGTATACACATAGTTTTTGATACAGGAATAAGAGGGGAAAGACCCATTCACAATACTTCAGTCAGAAAACCCTAAGAAGAGGCCTAGTGTAGAAGGCAAAAGAACCAAGCAATGAAAACTTTGAAGAAATAAATTGAAGAACACAAGAGATTGTGGGAAATCCTTCCTATGCTGATAGATTGGTATAACCAATACACTGAAGGGCTATACTACTGAAACTGATCTACAGAACTGATCTACAGTTTCAACACAATTCCTATCAACATTTTAATCACATTCTTCAGAGAATTGGGAATAACTCTTAAAATTCATATAGCAACAAATTCCTCAAATATTCAAAGCTATTCCTATGAATAAAAGGCAATGCTGGAGGGACATAATATGTGCCCTCTAATTATACTGAAGATTCATAGCAACAAACCCAGCATGGTACTGGCACAAAACAGATAAACAGATCAACAGAACAGAACATAGTACCCAGAGATTAAACCCACACAGCTATAGTCACTGTTAAAAACCAAAATGCCAAAAGCATAAATCAAGAAAAAAGCCTCTTCAACAAATGTATTTTAAAAAATAAAACTGGATATCTACATTTAAAGGACAAAACAAGATCCATGTCTTTCACGCTGCACTAAAATCCATTAGAAATGTCTAACTACAAAATCTGAAACTGCGGAGGACTATTCCTTTACACTGTGTGAAGATGTGTCACTGTGATTGGTTTAATATTGAGATGAATATTGAAATGAAGCTTAACTATGCAGAAAACTTAATATTGAGATGAAACTTAACTATGCAGAAAAAGTTTATGCAGGACTTCTGGGGACAGAGAGGTCTCAGGTGAGAGGAAAGGCAGAGCAGCCAACCAGATGCTGAGGAAACAGAACACGCAGGAGGAGAGGTAAAACCCACAAGCCTTGGGGCAGCACATAGATCAATAAAGAGTTAATTTAAGTTATAAGACCTAGTTAAAAACAAGCCTAAGCTAAGGTTGAGCCTTCATAATTAACAAGAAGACTCTGTCATGATTTGGGGATTGATGGTTCAAAAAAGTGTGTTACATGAAACTCTGAAATTGCTAAAGAAAAATAAAGTCAAATTACTTGAAGATATAGGCACAGGGGAGATCAGTCTGAAAAGGATTCAAACAGCACAGAAAATAATCCTAAGAACTGACAAGTGCTATTTTATGAAATTCAAGTTTCTGTACATCTAAATAACCAACCATCAGAGTGAATAGATAAACTGAGAAATGGGAGAAATCACTGTCAGCTATACAGCCAACAAGGGATTAACATTTAGACTTTTAAACATTGGAAAATCTAATCAATAAATGGGCTAATGAACTGAATAGACAGCTATCAAAGGAAAAAAAGAGAAGTGATCAATAAGAATTTCAAAACATGTTCAATACCCTTAGCTATCAAAAAACTTGAATAACTGAAGAAAGATAATGTACATGCACACAATGGAATTTCATTTAGCTGAAAAATAAAATTGTGACATTTTCAAAAAATAGATGGAAATTGAAAATAGAATAATGAGTGAAATAAGCCAGACTCAGAAAGACAAATACATTATTCTATAATGTATAGAGTATAGGTGCGCGTGTGGACGTGTGTGTGTGTGTGTGTGTGTGTGTGTGTGTGTGTGTGTGTGAGACAGAGAGAGAGAGAGGGGCGAGGGGGAGAGAGAGGGAAATAGGACAGTGAGAAGGGAGAAGAGGCAAGAGAGGTGAAGGGAACAAGAGAGAGTAATAAAATACACTTGACAATAGAAGGAAAGTAATGTGGGAAAGGAATGTGACCAGCTGGAATGAGAAGCAGGGTACTGTGGGGAGGATAAATAAGAATGAAGTATAATAAAACATATCTATGAAATGAAAATATCACAATGAAACCTGTTGCTTCAGGTAACAACTAAAAAAATAACCTAGCATATTGCATCCTAGGCACTTATCAATGAAGTGTGCATCCAAATATTTAATTCTAGGTTAAAGATATCATGCCAAGGCAGTAACGGACATATCTCTGTGTGTTTGAGTCCAGCCTGGTCTACAAGTCCCTAGACAACACAGAGAAGATCACACCATATATAAGGTGCATACCCTTTGAACATCCCAATCTTTCATGAGAGGAAGAGTGCTTCCAGTGGATGCCCAGTTTGCCCCATTACAGTTGGACCATGACACACAGTGGTTCCATTGCCATGTTCTTACCTACAATTCGAAGTAGCAGCCCAAATTAGATAAAAATGGCTCCCTAAATGGAAGAACTATGGCAGGGTTGTCTGGGGCAGTGTATGTGAAGCATTTAGCCTAGTTCTACAGTATCGCAACAAATAAAGGTTACTGTTGTAAAAGCATGTACCTTGTGCTGTCATACCATGTCCTTAATGTAGAATCTCTTGCTTTAACAATGGAAGCTTCATGGTATGGCCTAGCCTCTCCTAAGTACATTTGTAGGTGCTGTATTAAAAGGGGTTTCTTTCTGGCCACACCAAAAATAAAATGAGTAGTAGGTCTCTTATCACCAAACTTCCTTCCCCCCCCCCATACAACCTGTGACTACAACATGTTCTATTTGACATGGGTGTACCCATATGCCATTTCAAGGTGACCAAACAAGTTTGGGATTTGGATCATAGATAGATTAAGGTGCCAAGAATAAGGAGTTGTGGTAAGGAAGATTCACATGGGTCTACCCCATCACACTTTTGTAATGTATCAAATAGCATGATTAACTGCAGGCCCCATGCTTTACAGTAGATCTCTAAGATCTGATCACCTTTGGGACTAGAACTTTGTGCCAAGCAATGAGCTCCTTGGTTTCTACCCACCAAGTTCCTAGCAACTGCCATCTTATTCTATGCTTTTTAAATTTTTTATTTTACTTTTTATCTGTGTGTATACCACTTGTGTGTGGGTGTTCACAGAGGCCAGACAAGACATCTAGTACTCCAGACCTAGAGCTGCAGGAGGATGTGATCCACCAGATGTAGGTGTCAGGTCCCCTTCTGAGCAGGGAATGGCCTTAAGTGCTGAGTTATCTCCTCAGTTCATTACTCCATGAGTCTTACGACTTTTGAATTCATGTAAATATTCTTAATACAAAAGAAAAAAAGATGGGAGAGTGAGAGAAAGGAGAGAGAGAAGGAAAGTGATGGCTTCATGGGCATATGCATGTATCCATGCTCATCAAAGTATGTAGATTTAAGCACGAGGGTATTATATGTGGCTTTTCCATCAATGAAGCTGTTAATAGTAAAATAAAGTGAATAAAGGATTTCCCTTATTGCATAAGGAATTGCCCCAGAATTAACCCTAAGCTTCTAGAGGGGATGTCAAACTTAGAAATCCATGGAGGGTGCATGTGGCCCCTGGGCTTGCCCTCTGCCTACTAGCCAAGCCCTCCCTTTGTCCTGGTACCCACCACAGAGGTTTCCACACAAAGCTTTATGTATAGTTTACCTTGGCAGAGTAAATGCCGTGTGTATTTGGTGTAAAAAAATTAGGAAAACACTGAAAAAGAGAAAGTTGCGACAAAAATAAAATGATCCATTTCCCACCACCCAGAGAGCTGTAGATAACTTGGCACAGTTCCTTCCATCCCTTTCCCTCTGTGTAGCTTCAGGTTTGTTTTCCCTTTCATCTTCATACACTTGTGAATGCTTTGTGTACACAATTTGCTACCAGACTTCCCACTTAAATTAGAAGCTTTTCCATGTTATTGCAGGCTGTTCATAGACATTGCTTCCTTCCCATTAATGAAATGCAGCATCCCCTGACCTCTTCCCACTTTTAACCATTTACATTTGAGGTTTTCCTGACAGTTACCTCAATTGTAAGGGTGTATTACTTTCTTGTCGCTGTGATGAAAGCCCATGACAAAAATCGACTTCCAGAATAATGAGTTTATTTTGGCTTCCAGATCTAGAGAGAGTCCAGTATGACAGGGAAAGCATGGTAGCAGGTAACCAGAGGAGAACAGGCAGAAAGGCCAGGCCAGGGAAAGGCCACTTTGTGCAAGGCCTCCATCTTAGTACTTAATGACTGTTTGCCCTAGACTCAAAATTCCAGAAAGATAAGTTCCCAGAAAGCAACCAACCAGAAAGGAACAGCCATGACTGTTTAGTTGTTACGATATGACTGTTTTTTTGTTGGTTGGTTTGTTTGTTTTTTGGTGTTTCTGTGGCCTGGTTATACAGATACCCAAACATTGTTTTAAGTTGCTTTAGCCTCTTGGTAGAACAGACCAATTTTTGCTTCATTGCATAGATGTTGAATGTCTTCTTATA